CCGCCAGCCGCTGACGGTCTACCGTCGCATGCGACAGTTAACAATCATTTTTTTAATTATTATTATTATTATTATCAATTATTTAAGATGGGGACGCCACTATGTGCGTATTTTAACCCAAATATGAGTGAAGGATGAGTGTTTGATGAGTGTAGGATGAGTGGCGCGATCTTGTAGTCTTGTTAGTGACTAAGGCCGACATGTTCCTTAGACACAGCTGTTAATTAATAGCCCATACAGCTAATGGCAACTAAGGGACCTACAGTTTATAGTGGAATCCGAACCAATTAATGCGCTCTAAAGCCCCTTAATATAACACAAACTGTATTGTATATAGTATCGTTGTAATCGGCAAACTACAAGCTTTCTCCCGATGCCTGCCTGCAGACGCTAGCTGTATGTTCTGTTGTACTGTGATCAACAAAAGTTGTAACAGCTGTCTGCTATCTTCTGCTAGTAAGTTGCTGTGTTTACTGCGTTGTTTATTCGCGTTTGCTTAGTGTTTTAGTTTAATTTTTCGTTCTAAAATGGATAGTAGTGATATTAGAAATGCCCTAGAAGATGATATTAGTGATTTAGATGATTCAAACGTGATAGATGATCCTGATGAACCTGTAAGTGATTTTGAGATTGACATTCCTGAGTATGAGTCAGATCAGAACACTCGCTTACAGACTTCTCCAGTGGTAGTGAAGACAATTACAGCCCCCATCTAAGCGAATTAGATACCTCTGAACATGATGAATTAGTTGTAAATGAAGAAATAAATGAACCAGGTAGGCCTACTCAACCACCACCTCTTGTCCGTCTTCCTTTAGCAGAACCTTGGGTTAGGGTTTATACCCCAGAGGAACCAAAAGACATTAGTCCTGAGTTTAGAGTTAGGGAAACGGGGCCTAAAGACCTTCCCCCTAGAAATAGTCCACCTCTGGACTATTTGTCATTGTTTTTGACTGTGCCATTTTGGCAATTACTTACACAGGAAACAAATGCCTACGCTGACCGTGTAATTGCAGAAAAGCGGGACACATTGAGCCCTAAATCTAGGTTTCGGAAATGGACAAAGGTAACTGTCAATGAGATAAAAAATTTTTTGCATTGCTCATAAATATGGGCCTGTGAAAAAAAATGTGAGACACTATTGGGACACAAGAGAATCTCAGCTAAATCCTTTTTATGGCAAACACATGACTGTCAACAGATTCAATTTGATTAACACATTTTTGCATATGACATCTGCACGTGATGTTCCAAGAGACCACCCCAATTATGACCCTTGGTTGAAGATCAGGTGGTTTTTTGATCATGCCAATTCAGCTTTCAAGAAGCATTTTGTAGCAAACCAACATTTCTGTATTGACGAAAGTTTGATTGGCATGAAGAACAGGTGCGCGTTCATCCAGTACTTGCCAAATAAAAAACATAAACAATACGGTATCAAGAAATTCCAATCGTGTGACAGTGAAACAAATTATGTAATTCGTGTAGAATTATATAGTGGGAGGGACTATCTGGCTGCAGGTGCAAACTCTGAAGAATTGTTTACGGAGCGTGTCGTCATGGAAGTTATGTCAAAAAGCAGTTTGCTCGATAAAGGTAACCATTTATTTACCGACAATTTTTATACCAAGATTCCTCTTGCCGAACGTTTACTGAATAGACACACCTTCATCACAGGAACAATAAACAAGAAATCCAGATTCCTCTCTAAAACAGTAAAAAAGCTAAGCTGGGTGAAAGGGAGAGCATTTATTTTAGAAAAGGACAAGTTTATTGGCCGGCTTTCGACAAAAAGTAACACGGAAGGGCGTTTTGGTCATAACCACTGCTTATCATGCTGAGGACCAGGTTGTGAGGAGCAAGAAGGGATTAGAAGGTAGATAGCCCCTACTTATCCACCACTATAACCAAAGTATGGGGGGTGTTGATGTAAGTGACAAGTCTGTCTATCACCTGTCAATCAATCGTTCAACAACCAAGTACTGGAAAAAGATATTTTTCAATCTGGTTGATCTTTGTCTCTTCAATGCCTACACACTGTACAAACTCAATACTGATAGGCCTAAGAGCAGAAGAGAGTTCCACATTGCTGTTTTGGAAGCATTGGTGGCCCCAGGAAATGTTCGCCAGCAACAACCTCAACCTGGACCTGCTGGAGATGGCGGCGGTCACCGTCTTGAACATCTACCCCGGAGACAAGAAAGGACCTGTGCTGTATGTGGAAAAGGGAAAATTAGAGGAAGGTCACATTGGTGGTGTCCAGGATGCAATTGTGGAGTCCACAGAGAATGTTTTCACTTGTTGGAACACTATTGGAGGCCTATGAGAGGTGTCAAGAGAGTACTGGCACCCGATAACTCTGATTCGGACTATTTGCAGTGTGTACATAGTCGGTTTTTTGTCATGTTTTTATTTATCAAAAGTGCATAAAACTATATATTTTTATTCCTTTATAAATTTAGAAACTAATGGATATTTTGACATTGTCATGAAGTGTTGTATAGTTTAATTTGTGGGGGAGCAAACTTTGGAAAGTTTTTTTTAGTGTCAATTTTTTTTTCTTTACAAGATGATATACTGAAAAAAAAATACAGGTTGGTAAAGTTTTATGTTATTTATTTGTATTTTATTTTATTCTGAATACAATGATATTTTTTTATTATTATTATTCTTTGTCATGAGAGCCGAAGCCCCCTGACTACATACCCGGTACCTATCGTGAGACATACCCGGGCCCCATGATGTAGGCCGAAGCTTACGCATCAACCTTTAGCACATCATGGGCGGATGACTTAAGGTCATCAGGCTCGCCGGCTGCCGAAGCAGACCCTTCGGAAAGAGGGTTGCCCCTCAATCCTAACCAGGGATTCCGGCTACTTGTTTAAGCGTCACTCCACCTGGGTTCCACCAGGTACAAAGCCCTAGAGGACCATAATGGAGCGCCCCGACGCATTTAGTGCAAGCAACACTCGGGACCTATCTAATCCCTGACAGGCAGAACCCGCCATCATAGCCAGAAGGAAGGGGACCGTCAGCACAACCTCCCATTTACACCACTACCCGATCGAGGCCTTACCCAGTTGCTGGGAAACCAGAGATAACCAGAGCGATAGATCCCCAGATACCCCTGGCGGGCTCGGACCCAGCACCCGATCTACTTCGTTTGCCCGTCAGACCCAACATCACTGCCAGGCCATCAGGGTTTCCCAAAAGGAGGCAGGTATAGAAGTGGGACCCACCCGGATGAACCTATCCACCAGAGGTGGCGACACCCTTGACTCAATTGAGGTTCCGGGAAGAACCCCCCACACTCAAGATAACCATACCGTCCGTGATCAGAGACAGGGATTGGTTTGCATAAGTGCCTACAAACCGTTACCCTCACACTGCGGAAAGTTACGTTTCCCTTGAGATATACAATGATATACAACATGTTATGATTTTCTTGGTAATTATATTTTTTATGAATTTTTATTTAAAAATATGCAAAATGGTCAAAAATTGCTCAACCGCCAAGGGTATAACAGTGAACTGCTGGAGGGTTAACAAACTTGGCAAGAAAGAAAACTAAACTGGGTCCATAACCTCTTGAATTTTAATGTAGTATAGAGCAGTCAAGTTTATATAAATCTAAGTTTTGGTAAATCAAGTGTAGATAACAACCTACATAAACTAAGCTTATGTGTGAAATAAATCTCAACTGTGTTTTAATGAACTTTACTGCTTACTAATAGTAAAGTAGAACCTCGATAACAAGACTCTCATGTGGGTGATTAAATAAGACTTTTTATCAAGGTTGACTTCTTATTGAGGTTTGCAATAACATGTGATTAGGGGTAAAATAAATTCAAGGTGACTTGAAAATGACACTTGTTAACAAGGGTTACTTGTTATAGGGGGGTTTAGTTATCAATGTTCTACTGTAGACTATGAAAAATAATATTATCAAAATAACAATCAGTTGTTAAATCAAACATGGTAGAAATAACTAGCTTTAACAACTATAAGTTACTCTTTCAGTTTTTAACGGTTAAAAAGATGTTTTAAAGAAAGAGTGGATATTTGACAATATATTAGGGATGGTCAAGTCTCGAAATTTCGGGAAATTTTTGGGAAATTTTAAATCTCGTTACACGAGACGAGATTTCTTTTTGGCCGAGATTTTTATCGAGACGAGAATTAAAAAAAAAAAAAAAAAAAAAAAAAAATTAAAAACGCCTGCAGAAAGTCAATGCAATACCCGCAATACAGGAGCGTGTTGTAGTTGCGTTTCCTTTGCGAAGGCGTTCTTATTTAATTAATTCTATAAATGTAAATATTACTTTAATTATTTTAATAATATTACTTTGATAACATTTAAGAAGTTTTGTTAAGTGTAAGCAGTGTGAGGAATGTTTTATTACTATAAAAAGTCAAAACAAGTAACTATTTTATAAAAATTAATATTGCTTTTATTTTATGATTTATTTTATTTTAGGATAAGTTGAACTCTATCCTAACTGATATCACTATGTTTCCTAATCGTAGGCATTTTTAATAAGTTAGGCGTGATTAATAAAAAAATGTTATGCTGATGTTTTTTAATAAAAGATTGTAAATATTCTTGCCTATTATCATTGATTATTTTTGTATTTAAACAGTCATCTAACAATGTTACAAAATCAGGTAAAAATTTTGAACCTTCATTTCCCGTTGTGTATGAGAAGGGAAATCCAGTCTCGATCTCGTCTCGAAATTTTATGAGAAATAAAAAATCTCGTCTCGTCTCGTCTCGAACTAAAAATTTAATCTCGTCCATCCCTACAATATATGAATATAACACTGCTGTTAGTTAAAAAAAATGAACAAAAACAAAATCCTATTCTAATATGCAAACTGGTTACTTCTTTAATGTGGGAATGGAATGTCAACTTCACAGTAGTCTGCCTCGTTAAGTTAACCTGGTTAAAGGTTTTAGATAACTACCGATATCAATCTAAGAATGTGAATATTAATTTTACCTGTTGTACTTGAAGGAGATGCTTGAGTAACATTTTTATAGTTTAAAACCTGATCTTCAAGTTCAAGAGATGAGTTTGATGGAAAGGTGGAATCAATGCGTTCAGGACACTTTCTTTTATACTGCCTTTCAACTGTGAACAAAAACCACCTATTGTAATTAACAAATTCATCCTGCTAGAGCATATCTGTCAAGCTCCTGTTACTATTACAAAAAATACATAATCTATACAGTAGAACCTCGATTTACCGGGGGCAGATCAACTGGGGGGCAGATTGACTGCAGTCAATAAATACCTCTAAAATAACATATACATTACATTATCCCAACAAAATAATAAAAATGACTATTTCCACCCATAATTGATGTGCAGTAGGCTTCCAAATTGTTTTTGCAATCAGTGCAATCGTTGCAAATGTTTCCAAGCAGCAACATTTCACTCACAATCTGACTTATCAACGTTCCTTTAAATGAGGACAATTAAAAAAAAGAATTCAACATCATAAAATATTTAGCCGAGAAAAATGTGTATAGAAGCAACTATTAATCTAAGGTAGGTGTGTTTGCAGCAAAACTATTTTTAAACGATTTTATTGGTAGCTGTGGCTAGTGCTAGTTACATTTCAAATGTAGCTCCCTCAACACTGTTCATATACCACTGCAATCACTACAAAATCGTGATCATTTCAAGTGAAAGCTGCAACAACAATCATGCAAACTTTGCTAACGCCTCATTGATCCATGAAATCACTATTCCTCTAGGCCCTAACATTTCTCATGCAACAATGCAGCATTAGTCTCACCAGAACTGGGCCTATCTGTTTTCCTCTTGAGTGTGACTTTTGAACACGGGCTAACTGTTTTCACCTCATATTTTTTACTTTTATTTAGTTCACTCCCTCCTTTTGTACTGCTTGATGATAAACTGCTAATTGAAAACATGCTTTGTAAACTACTCGGACTAGAAGATAACAACAAATCATCTGAAACAAATAACAGAAATAGGATGTGTAAAACAAAGTAATTTACTCAGGTATTTAATTAAAATAAAATTGTCTACAGGGAGAAATCGTTCACTGACTCCCAGCATAATTATCGAGTAAGTTCAAGTTGCTTAGCTTACTTTACTTATGGACAGTATCCTGACCACCACTTTAAGGAGGTGTGGGAATAACTGTGGTAAGGACGGACGGGTCCTGAAATAATGCAAAGTTTTCAGGAGAACAATACTTGGGAGAAAAATATTCCTGATTGTCGGGACGAGATTACATTTGAATCAGGATTTTCTCGGGACGGGATTTGATCTAATCGTTGGCGTTCTTGCTGCTTAAGTGATGATGATGCCTCCGCGAGACATGTTGACGATGGCATCAGAATCAGAAATCAGAAATCCTTTATTATCCTTAAGCAAAACAATCTTGCAATAGACATGGTCACATATTATGGTAAAATAGGGTTACACAGTAACCCAGTCAGACTAGATTAATAAGCTAATATTACAGACAATAACAGGTAAAAATTTTAAAGTAAAAAGAAGGCTATAGGCTGGGTGGAGAATATACCAGTACTTATTCCGTTACCCCGGACCGTCCTACGTAAATTTGATTTAAGAAACCCCGTATTGACTCTGGTGATCAACCAAGTCTAATTTTCCGACACGTTTACTTTGGTGATTACCAAGTATAACGACCGAATCACGTTTTAGTTAAGTTTCCAATTAATTAGGCTTATTCACATTCACGATAGGTTATTCAAAATTATAATTTAACTTCACATATTTTTCGAGTGGCTCATCCACTTGATAAAGGTAAGCTAAACATTGTTAGCAGTATTGTAATTAAAATTCTGAGCCAATGAACTCGAAACGATAATTAAATAACGAACACGTTAGAGCCCTGGTCTATCTCATGTTGGCTAAGCTATCTGGACAAATTTAAGGTATGACAGAATTTCAGGTGGGACAAAAATTACGTACTTACTCAAAAATATAATTTTGTCTCACCCCAAAATTTCGTCATATGTTCCAAAATTATCCTCTTTGTTTGATTTTCAATTTGTATATAATTTGTTTATAAACCATGTGTTATCTATCTGATCACCTAGGCCTACTACTAGTTAAATTAATATCTCTTAATTATCATATGTTTTCCATACAGTAAAAGAGCAAAAGATTCCACCCTTTGTAAATTTTCCATATTTCATATGCACCTCAAACATTGTCCATTATTATTTAATAAGCTAAAATGTGTATAATAACTGGAAGTTATTTCTACACTTTGAATTTTTTTGCAGATTATTCTTCTATTTCATTTTCTAAAATATATTTAAAATATTCTTGCTATAATATTAAAGAAATTTAAATTTGTGATTCAACTCAAAAGTATTGCTGCAGCTGTGTGCAGTATTTCAACACCAAGATTTGCCTCAATTACTTATTATCATCCCTACATCAAGAAATATATTCATTTGTGCTGAAGACAACTATAAACTTTTGGGTGAGATCCAACTGAACTTTACCTAGGCCTACCTTGTTTAAAATACATTCCAAGGACCTCCATTGACTTTTGCCAATTTGAACTTGAACTAACCTTAATTACCATTTTAATATTTTACTAAACTCAAAATTTGAACTTTCATCTTTCCAAAAGGGTTTCATTGAACTTTAATTTGTGATTAAAATTAGGCCTATGCCTATCAAAAATCACATAAGTCTGCTTTGAGCTGGCATGATACCCCTAATACCCTGAGATATAGAGAGTTTCATGATACAATTTATAATAACCCTATTTGTAAATTTTGATCAATAAAAGGTTTATGTGTTTATTATTGTAAACCCTGAACATTTATTTATTTATTTACCACACATACTTAATGAACTTTGAATCCTCATCTTGTGAAACATATTGAGGATTTAATATTGAAGTAACCAAATATAGTATAGTTCTGGTAAACATTTTTCAGATGCTGATTGAAGGGCCCCTGACTGTCGACTCACTCTTGCGGTAGTAGCTGAGCGACAGTAGCTAAGCGATAGTAGCTAACCATGTCATTGTCCCTGAAGCGATTGTTCAAGAGCAATTTTGTTCATTAGTTTGCTGACTATCGAGTGAATTGGTGCCATGAGTGCCATGACACCAGCTAATTTTAAAACGTTTTTATTAGCTCACTTTCTTGTCCGGTAAAAACTTTGCAATCAATAACCAGCTTCCCGACGAGCTAGAGAATTGAAACTTGAAACAAACATAGTTCACAAATGGATGACAATGAAATATTATGTCATTACATTTTCATATTTCCCTTGGGCTAAGGCCCATGGGCTTCCAAATTTTTCATGTTTACATTTTGGAAGAATGTAGGCCTAAATATATCAATTGAAGTCAGCTGTAAATACTAAAATTGACAGTTCGAAATGCAGAGGTTAAGAGGTACAGGTTCTGCTCCCGAGAGATTCTAATAAAATAAGCAGTTCAAAGGAAAGATAAAACATATGATTATAGATAATAAGGGTTTGGTTATGTATTAACAGGCCATATAAAATAGATTTAACATATTTACACATTAAAGACTAAAAAGTAGAAAATAATTATAAATAAAATAATTTTTAAAAATACCACGTTTTTAAACGCACTAAAAAGTAAAAATAATTTATAAATATGTGGAGAGAATAAATACTTGTACGATTTAAAACGAAAAATGTGGGGCGCATGCAATAGATAACAATAGGTGAAGATAATTGTAACTTAGCATGCGTCCCACGTTTTTTTAAAATCTTCAAGTATTTATTCAATACTTATTCTGTACTTTATAGTGTGTTTAAAATCGTTGCAGTTTTAAAAAGTGTTTTATTTATAATTTATAATAGTAGTGATTTAATATTATGTACATATCTGATCTTCCCATGTCTGATGCTATCACGACTCATATATTATCTTTAGCATGCTGATATTTATACAGACTGTTCTGGCTGTTATTGCTTCTAACAGCTTTTCATCTTCTTCAGGGGTAAAACGCAGTTTTGTATTCTTTGAAGACATTAGGACCAAACAAGTCTACAGACAACACAAATCGCTCAGCGACTGCGACTCTGACTCCCCTCAGAGCAGAGCCGCTACAGTCGCTGTGTTCAGCCGCTAGCCGCTCCAGTCGCAGTCTCGTCAAGGACAATGGTCCCATTTGAAACATCGCTAACCAGTGCTCAGCTACTACAGTAGAACCCCTCATATCCGGCCACCACGGGACCAAGCCCCTGGCCGGATAACAATTTGGCCGGATAAACCAACCTACTATGAAAATGACAATTCATACCTAATAATAATAGGTAATCAATATATGCAATCAAAAGTATCATTTAATTCTGTTCTGGGATCATTTTTAGAAAAATAAACATGTTTGTAAAAAGGAAAAAAAATATTTGTAGGTTAAAGTCATTACTGTAAGTAATGAATGTAGGCTACAAATATTATGATTCCAGGTAACAATAGTTATTTGTGCAACTGGTGAGAAAAGTGAGCAATTGACTCACTCGAGAGAAATCCTTACTCACGAGCCGTAGGCGAGTGAGGAATGGTTTCTCGAGTGAGGCAATTGTACTTTGAACTCGAGTTGCACATTATACTTTTCCTACAGTTACCATAAAACAAAAACATTTGTGAAGAAACATGAAGAAACATAACCTATTTTTACGCAGAAGTGAACTTTTGATATAACATTTAATGTGAAGTGACAAATACAACAGTACAACAGCTGACCAGCTGATTTACAGCCAGTGCTGCCAACGTATTTCGCGCGCATACGACATTGCCTGCATGTTACGCGCTCACTATTTCGTGCCTTCACGTTGCAAATCTGGAGTGAGACAAAGTAATTAGAGTGAGACAATGTTAACATTGTCTCACTGGTGAGCGAATTGGCCACTTTGCTTTCTCAAATCAGTGAGAGAACATGTACATTGTTAGGTAACTGTAGGAAAAACATATTAAATGGAGGTAAAAATGACAATAAATTGTACTTAAAGATCATTAGGACTTAAATACCACTTGCATTTCTACTCAACATTTTTAACCATTTTGTGAAATACAAAAATTAATGTACTCGTACTGTACTGTACTAAGCCCACTTTGGAAATAATCAGCCAACTGATCAGAGGTTAGGCCTACTAGCTCAACTGAGTATAGTGACTCAGCAAATAAATGTATAAACAAACAGATAAATAATTAGAACAATTTATTTTATGACTTAAGCAGTCACAAAGACTAGTGCTTGTACCTAAACGTCTGTAAAGTGTGAGAAAAAAAATTTTATATTGGCTCCCTGAAAGGGGCCGGATAAACAGAGGACCGGTAAAACCAAGGCCGGATATGAGGGGTTCTACTGTATCGCAAGAGTCGCTTCAGGGACAATGCACCTTAAGGGTTATTTTTCTGGAACATAATTTAATTTTTAAATTCATTTTAATTAGGGAATTTTTCCACTGTTATTTTTGTCTTCATTATTGTCGATAACAAACAATCCACAAACGCCCAACCTATGTTGGAATACACTACAGAGACTTCAAACAAACAACTTCAAACAAAGAATATTAGTTTTGGTTTTATTTTTTAAACTAGGCTAATTGATTACCTTCCAAAATTGATCTTTTAGGTGATGAAGATTTTCTCTGTGGAATCATGGAAGGACCACGACTTGCTGTTTCAGGCAGAGTCTCTTCATCTTCAAATAAACCTAAAAAAAAGGAAAAAGTTTTTTTTTGTTTATTTGTTCCAAAAGATTAATACATACACATAACTATTTTAAAAAAAAAAATACGTGTACATGCCTGGATTACTTAATTATTTTTGCTTGAATGACCCATTGAGTGAATTCAAGACATGTAAAGAAAAAAACTGTAATAAGAACATTTTTGATCAGGGTTTTTTTATCTAACCTAATAACATAAGTGAAATCTAAACAAAATAAAATTACAAGCCTTCACTGACTCGCTCACCCACTCACTCGCACACTGATTGATTCATCACTAATTCTCCAACTTCCAGACTAGCTAGAGCTAGAAGGCTGAAATTTGGTATACTCATTATTCAGGTCAAAAATATGTTAAGCAGTTTTCATAGTTATTTTACTATAGCCTACTAAACGCATGCACCCTACAAGCCCTCTTAAGGACATTCAATTTTAAACTTAAATTTGTTTATCATATACCACTTGTTGGTACCATAAAATTTGTATTCATAACGTCTGCCTTAAAATGTTTGTTTTGTTTATTTTTTATAACGTAATATTGTTAAATAGTGATTTCATATCTAATTTTTAATTTTAATTGTTATTATTTTGTAAAACTACATTAATATATTGACTTAACATTATTGAATTATAATTATTATAAAAAAAGGATTTGACTAGGCCTAAATAACTTATTATTTTTGTAATTAGTTTATTTATAATAAAAAAAACCTAGGCTCGGGCTAGGCTCAATTGAAAATCTCAGGCTCGCACACCTCTAGTTTAAACCCTTCTCAACACAGTAAATAACTACTATATCAAAGGTAAATGAAGATCTACTGAAAAAATACAATTGTATTAAAACTATAGGTGTGCCAGACTGACATTTTCAATCAAGCCAAACTAGAGGTAATAGTGTGATGGACCCAAAACTCCAATTGCCCATATAAAACCCATGTTAAACACACAGTATCGTGGGAATAGTGTATCTGCATCCACTATCTTCAGTACTGCACGTTTAACATGGGTTTTTATGGGCAATTGGAGTTTTTGGTTAATTACTAGAAAACGACCAAGGATAGACGGTAGGTTTAAATTTAAAAGTTGTTTGTATTTACAAGTCCTTAAAAATGATACACAATTTTACATATGTTGCCATTTAAAAATTTTCATTTACAAGGCTACCAACTTAAAAAAAAATTAAAATCATAGAAAAAATATTTAGTTTTTAAAATGTTGACTTGTCGTATATCAAATTAAAGCTGAACCTACGAGGATTAAGAATTTTCAAACAGAACGAAAATAAGTTTAGTGGTTGTCAAGATACAGGGTATTCTGTAAGTATCAATATTTTCTATAAAAATGGCTGCCATTTTGAAACGGACAAAGATAAATGAGTTCTGTTTTCACTAAATTGTTTGTCTAGTCTAGAGCTTTAAAATTATGGATAACATTACATATGTTTACATTTGAAAACTCTGAGATTCGAACCCATGACCCCCAGTTTCTTGAACACCCTGTATTTTAAAAATGGTAAAAATATTTTTACGTTGTTCCTTGGGTATGAATTAGTGGGGAAAAGTTTTGTTTCATCTCTGTATGTCAAGCCGTTCGTCTGTAATCTGTTTAGGACAGCTTAGAAGACTCACGCTGTATATATATAAATATATATATATATATATATATATATATATATATATATATATACATATATACAAATTTTAACGAATGGTGTTTTTGGCCTCTGGGGACATCAAAATGAAAAAGTAAATCGGTCCCGGGTCTAGGTCTTACCGTGCCACCTACGGTAATAGCTACTTCCCTATAGGGAAATTCACTAAAACTAAGTACAGAAGAATGTTGCAAAACAATGTTTACGATACTTACTAAACCATAATTAAAGCAAATTAAATAAAGAAAAAAATGCTTGGATTGAAGAATAAATTATTAAGTTTTTTGTTCTACAAATAGGTTTAGTAATAAGCAAATAAACCAACTTGAAGCACCATTTAACCTTAACTTTTGTACTAAAAAGCTACTTCAGTAAAATAGTTGGTTTTGGTCATTTATGAATAGCTACTTCAAGTTAGCAAACTTGATAAGCATACAAACCTGTAAAATCAATTTTTGAAACCTCCGAAGGGATCTCAGTTGTTTTTCTTTTGTTTGATTCCAAGATTTTATTCTTGATTGAATCCTCTGATGATGCACATGTAGTTTTATCACGGTTAACATGGTCAACGCTGTTTACTTTTGTTTCAGCTAGAATTAATTACAAAAATATTAAATTGAAAAATGTTAAATCAAAATTTTACTAAAAACAAGATTTTAACAGACTTTTATAGCTTAACAAACTTGATTACTTTTGATAGGAAATGCTAAATAAAAGTGTTTTTGAACATAAATTTCAATTGGTAATACCATAGATAAAACATACTCCCTTAGTAGATTTCTCATCCTTATGGAACAGCTGAAGACAATTTTATTGTTAGTTCTGTACGGTTTATGTAGAGGTCGTGTTTTGTTTACAATTTGTTTCCCGTTAATACTGTCATTTAAAACCTCGTTTAACCAAATAATACGATATAATCATAAACAATAAATTGTCCCCTAATTATTTAACCAAACAGTAAAGCACAAATCAAGAAATTAACCCTAAAATAATAGAAACAAAATTTCGTCGAAACTAGCGCCCAGTGTGGCCTACATGAACTAGACATGAAAAACGAGCTTCAAAATTTACAATGGGATGAGAAGTCTACTTTTGTTGGTTAGTCTATGGTAATACACTGTAATAAATCTCTGTTTTTAGCGAATTTCCCATATAGGGAGTAAGCTATTACCGTAGTACTCAACTCATGGTAAGACCTGGACCCGGAACGGATTTAATTTTTCATTTTGAGGTCCCTAGAGGCCAAAAACACCATCCGTTCAAATTAATATATATATATATATATGTAGGGGTGTGCGGATATCCGAAAAATCGGGTCGGATTCGGTTCGGTTCGGATATCCGTATCCGAACCGAAACTAAATTTGATATCCGACACTATCCGTTATACATCCAACTTTTTCGGATAGACAACATATTTTGACGTTTTGGACAGAAAACTAACTCTTGATAACCATCATTAGTTTCCCAGGACAAAATTACAGCAATACGTTTCCAACAACAACGTAACAGAAAAGGACAAAGAAGCCGTATGATGCAATACCGATGTCTAGTTTATAGTCGTTATCAACGTCGTTATCGGCTGTTTTGCTTTACGATTAGATTTGTCTGGAACGAACAGACATAAAGCAGAGAAGAACTACCATGGTCAACTCGTGCTTGTCTCCTAATACTAGGGGCAATATGCGTAATAATTTTTTTTTACAGTACTGTTTTAAAGTATAAATACCCCAGCCGCAGCAAACCTGCAGACTAAGCGAATTTCCATTTGACTGATTGGATTTACACTGAAATGTCTACTTAAAAATATAACATTTATTCCCAATTTAAATAGAATTAGTTTAACAAGTGCTTAGGTTTGCTGCATCAGGGAGGGTAAAACTGTGTTTTTTTTTATGTTAATAGTTAGAAAGAAATAAAAACATTTTCCAAATTTGATCAAAATATGTTCATAAACAAGCAGTCTACAACAGTTCACTTATTCTCCATAAGAATAACATAGAAATATTACATTTACAATTTTTTTTTATTTTCTCCGTAACCATTAGGCGCAAAAAAACGCTTCAATATACAAAATTATTTGTTTTTTTAAGCTCTACAAAATGGTTTGGAAAGAAATTGCAAAATTTTATGTTTTTTGGGTCAAAAATGGAAAAAACCTATTTTTACCCCATAAAACCCCCCATAGACATATGATTCGAAAAACATTCCCATGGTACGATCATGCTGGATCGCGAACTCGTTCGAATAAACGTAGGTTTAGACGTTTGTACCAAATTTCATCAAAATCGGATCATTTTTGCTTGAGTTATCGTGCTAACGGACACACACACACACACATATATATATATATATATATAATTAAATATTTAAGTAAATAAGTACAACTGAGCACCCTGAATATTATATTTTATAAAAAGAAGTGACATGTTTCGGACATAAGTCCATTTTCAAACTGCAAAATACATTAAAAGGTTTTAATGTATTTTGAAGTTTGAAAATGGACTAATGTCCGAAACATGTCACTTCTTTTTATAATATATAATATTCAGGGTGCTCAGTTGTACTTATTTACTTAAATATTTAATATATCAGCAGCCCTATTACGTGAAAACCTAAATTAAAACGTAAATATATAAATATATATATATATATGAATTTGAACGGATGGTGTTTTTGGCCTCTAGGGACCTCAAAACGAAAAAAAACGGTCCCGCGTCCAGGTCTTACCATGAGTACTACGGTAATAGCTTATTCCCTATATGAGAAATTCGCTAATAAAAATCTAGCCTACTCCTGTGCAGTTACGTAAACAATAGATTTAATGTTTCCCGATAAAAGTCAGAATAGAAACAATAGAAAGGCAACACAATAGAAGGGTGGGAGGGGTTGGGCAATGACCTCGAAAGGAGCCAGGGTAACGGGTAGCAACAGTGAGTCGAGTAGGCCTTGAGGGGGGAAGGGGTGAGTACGACCTTGAAGCTATATATAAACTTGCACTACTTCCCTAAATCTAAAGGACTGGCAAGTGGTATTCCAATCACAGGACAAGATACGTTGTTTTTTGGGTATTCATTGCGCGGTTTGACTTTGGATTGTCTTATTGTGTAGAAACTTTGAATAATCAAAAATAAAATTAGAACTAACCACGATTATTTAGCATTGATTGTGTATATTAAATGATTAAATGATAGAGACCAGGGGAAATATAAAATTTTTTGTCATGATTTGAATTTCAACATCAAAATACAATATTGCACAATCATGATATTTTAGGTCATTGACCTTTATTATGCATGTAAGATTTTATGATTTTGTTTTATAGGTTTATAAAATAATTCTTTTTAACCACGGGAATATCAATTTATAATTTATCAACGTGCTTCTCTTCTGAAAAAATTGCTAAGTACCAGGTCTTTTTTGGGAATGATTAAAATGGTATCTATTCAGCCATACACTGAAAATAAATAAGCCATGATGTGCATTGATAAAAAAAAACTATGAGTCAAATTTTGACTAACATGCAAAAACTACCATAGTCCAGGGTCTTGAAAACCATAACCATTCGCAAGTTAACCATAAATATATGTTCACTATCAAATTTATGGCGAAAGTGGCTCAAAATTGTTATAAATATGAAATTCCTAAAAAAAACTTACCTAATGATATCAATTAAAATTTATGGAAAACCCCTGAATAATACCATTATCACACATATTTTCCGGTTTTTAACCGGCCATTAAAATTCATGCATAATGCATTGTTCCTGAATTACCTGCAATTGCCGGTCGCCGGCAACCCTGTAAAAGTTGCTTGTAAAGTCTAGTACAGTCTAACCTTGATATAACGAACCTCGATATAACGAATTCCTTGATATAACGAATTTTTTTTAATCCCCTAGAACTCTCCATAAGACACAATGTATATTTTACCTCTACATAACGAACAAACCATAACAACGACCTTGATTTAACAAATTTTTTGTGATTTCGGTTAAAATAAGACACCTCAATATAACGAATTTATCATTGTCAGAACCTCTACATTGCGAATTTAACCTCTGCATAACGAATTGTCTACGTCTTTCCCTCGATATAACATATCCCCCACCCAATTATTGTTTTGGGAAAATCTGTTTCTTTATCGCTTGCGCTAACATTCGTCTGCTCCGTTTTACATCTTTGTCTGCTGTCGCTGCGCGCGCTATGTTGCAACTGAGAACTGATTTCATTCAATGAGGACTGATGACGACGTAATGTTTAGTAAGCTGTGATTGGGCGATATGGGATAACTATGGTGAATTTTACAATTTTTGGATAAAGAGAAAACTAAGAAAGAATATAAAAACAAAACCAAATAGAAAGAATAGCAACATCGTTATCTTAACATTCCTTTTACAAGTGTTTTTATTATCCTTAAGTTGGCTATGATTATACACTTTTATAATGACTTATCTAATAATTTATTGTTTTCAATACGATTTGTTTCAACTAGCAACACCAATGCTATAGTTAATGATTATTATTGACATTTCTCTGTTGTGATAAATCAGTACTGTACTGTAAGTAGCCTACCGGCCTATCACGAGCAGTAGCTTAGAAAACTTTCTACCGTTTTGTTTTGTTCTTTACATGGTTTATGACTACGCAATACAGTGTTTGGCTAGGTTTTAGGAGGGTTAGAACAAGGTGTGATTTTAAACTTACAGTTTTTAACTTGTACCAAGGTCAATGCCATTGTCATGATTGCGCAATATTCAAGATCCCTCCCCTTTATTTTGCCGGATAATTTAGGTTCTACTGTACAATGTAAACACTGTACTGTAAAGTATTGTAGCGTAGCCTATGCTACTTTAATTGTATTTTAATGAGGTCAAATCCCGACCTATATTGACCGACGCTGGTTCTGAACCTCGACTTAGCGAAATTCCTGCAAACCTAACCTCTATATAACGAACCTCGTTTTAACAAAATCCTTGATATAACGAATATTCAGTTCGGTCCCTTCAGATTCGTTATACTGAGGTTGGACTGTAACTATTGACTGTAGAGTTATCGGGTGTCGAGTTAGTGAGGTTTTACTGTATAAAATCATAAGGACATTGTACAGCTTTCAGTAAAACCTAGTATTAAATAATTGCTTACCTTGTTGAGGTATCGAGTCACGGTCATCTTCAGCTTTTTTCTTATTTGAAGTAAAGGCATCTTCATCTAAAACAAATTAAGAACAGTAAATATGTGTGCCAGACAAACTAACAACAAGCATCTGTTCAAACAAAAATATAGTACAGTAAAATAATGTCCATCCAAACACCGATTAACCAAATCGCCAATTATTCTAATCGGTTCTAAGCGTAAATATAAACAAAATAAATCCGAAAATTATCCGGACTCAGAGTGGATCTTTTCAGTACCCGACCCGAACGTGCCCGAACCTAATATTTCACTACCCGCAGCCCCCTACTTGAAACACACTTAACTTCGGCTGCTAGATATTTAAAAAATAATAACTTGGCATCTAAAAAACTGAAATTTAAACTAAAATTATGACTTTGACATTCCCTTACTTTCAAATTTATCTTTCTTTCAAGACCAAAATCAGGAAAATCCCCCAAGAAGTTGATTCAGAATCGTGAAATAAAATAATCCTGTCACGTTTTAATATGAGCTGCCTACAATTAAAGTGGTGTAAATAAGTCAAAATGTTTAAATCTGAGTTCTATGTAAAATTGGGCTCCTTTTAAGCTCCTCCTTCAGTATGGGTGTAAGTCAATAGTTCAAAAACTGGCCCCCAGGAGCAGCACCAAAAACATCAACTAACCAAAACAGCTGTTGGACTGAGAATGACAGTTAGTGGTGTAAGCTATATGATGTTTAGCTTAAATATAATGTTTAATAAATAAAATAAATAATAAAATATTCGGCCAAAACCGTTTCTACATATATAACCTGGATTGTCAAACTGTTTGTTTCAAATACAATACTCAAAACTTAAGTTTTAGTGACTTACAACAGTTTCATTATACAGGGTGATTTTTAAACGAGTTCCCCCCTTCCTTTTTTCTACAAGATATCAACTCCGGACCACGTCAGATCATTGTAGAGTAGCAAGTACTTCATTTTGACTGAGTATAAATTTTTGGCCGCCATCTTGGATATTAATTAAGTTTTTTTTTATGTAAAGGTAGGGTTGTCACCCATTGTTTCAAACTAGATTTTTACACTGAATAGAGAAAATGATGCTGCAATCTGTTTTACAAAATCTTGATCCATTCTAAAGTTATGAGAACTTTTTTAATTTTATTATTAGCCCATTTTAACATTGTGCATTTATAAACTATGAACATAATCTCAAAATAGTGCAAGACAAAGATAATTATACACCACCAGTCATTGTCAACCTATTTTCACTTGGTTATGACGGATGTATTTTTTTGGCCGCCATCTTGGATCCGCCATTTTGAAATGTGATAAATTATTTTAAATATGAAGGTGGTGTTGTGACCCATCATTTCGAATTACTTTTTTATGGGTGAATGTCACGAATCAGGCCAACTTGTGTCCCGGTAATAAAAAATAAAAAATACAAACTGTTTTAAAAATTGTTGTTGTTTTATTTATCACAACCCTTTATCATTTCACTTAATCTAAGATTTATAACTCATACTTCATTATTTATTTCATCAATTAAAAAAATTAATTTTTACCTCAAAATTCGGTTACTGTCCCCGACTGCCGAACTCAGAATTCATCAACAACAAACAAGCACACAAGCAGATGATCGGCAAACATATTTATCAGTTTGAGGTAGACCATCAGGACAGATGGGCTGAATCTACAGTTTATTTGCGGTTTTATGCTAGTCCCAGAACCAATGAGGTCAAAGACCACTAAAACTATGTTCGAGGGAATGATGGAAACGACGCTACATTTTGGTGCGAAATCACACCAAGAAGCAGAGAGTGAGGTGAATACTGTGTTTCACACGTTAAATTGTTTTGAATCTGATTGAAAACCCAGGAAAACCCATCTTTTACAGGTAATTAACAGTACCTTAATTAATCTACGAAACGGTAAAAAAAAGTGACAGGGAGATGTGTGCCTGCATAAAACACTCGAACATGAGTCTAATGATAAGTGCACTGAAGCAGGTAAAGGTGATTACACAAAATTCATCAAGGGAAGTATTATCTGCCACTGTGTGCTCGGCTCTGATAGTTAAGAATGTTTGATGGGCAGGTGCCCACAATGTATGTACAAAACCATCAATTTGGAATTGGAAGACAATTTTAAACTTAAGTACTTACTATCAATGGAAAAAAATAAAAGAAAGAAGAGTAATAAAAAATAAAACAAGGTTGGTACAAAAGATGATTAAAGAAAAGAAGACAGAGAATGTCCGTAAAGTGATGGCAGAGTTCATGAGCATGATGCCTGTGTTAAAAAAACACGTCTTCTTTATGAAGCATCAGACGAAACAATTGGACCGGAAGATAGAGTAAAGAAGAAGGAGAACTGGCTCTCAGGCTAGACTTTTCTGAAAACTACGTATGTAATAACTCGACAGGAGCACTGGAGTTGCGTACTACAAAAAGGGCAATGAAGTGAAGAGTCGGTGTTTTGCGACGGTGTCTGACAACCTTGATCACCAGGCCCATGCGGTTTGGGGCCACATGAAACCTATTTTAAAAGACTTTTCTCAGCGGTTTCCACTCAAATTCACTTTTTTTCAGATGGCCCCTCAAGCCAGTACCGCAACCGATTCAATCTAAAACCATTTCAAACAATTTTTCCGGAACATTTCAAAAAGGTTATTAAGATGACATGGAACTTTACCGAGACTGGTACAACTTATAATTAAAAATTATATTGTAAAAGCACTTATAAACTAACAAAAACAATTGTTGGAAAGTAAAAATCATGCTATTGGATCAAATTTTCCTCTAACATTGATTAAGCATCTTTTTATTTAATTAAAAATAAGTAGATTTTATTTTATTGTATCTACAAAATATTCATTTTATCTTAATAGGTAACTCAATTTGTAGTTTCATAAATATTTAAAACTTTGCATTCCATTTGTTAGAATAATTTTCATGAAATGGTCTCATTCATTCATTGTAGTTAGTTTTAGTTAAGTAAATCACTCATAGATAGGGTAAGCTGCCAGGTTGGGTACAATGGTCATGCTGGACGGTCTCAACGGTTGCTTCAGTGGTCAGAGAGTGGATAGAAACAGAGACAGAATGTGACATGTGTTTTGTGCTTGGACTGAAGAGAAGATTTTTCACCATGTAGTCGTAAGTCAGACATTTATAGACATTAATTTCAAGGGTCATCAGCATCCCTTTCTCATTATTAATTAATTTTCCAAGGGTCAGCAGTATCCCTTTATTTTTAACAAACTTTTATTCAGTACAGTAACTTACAGTGTATACCTGTGCAATCAATCCTGAACAAGCTCCAATACAGTATAATAGTCACTAGGGGTCTGCGGTGCACCGAAAAAGTCGGTACGGTACAAGCTTAATTACCGTCATCGGTTCGGTACAGCATTTTACACGGTACAAATTCGGTTGATAAATTACTTTCAGTTTACTATAGTCAACAGTTGGTTCCGAGCACATAAAAGTCTTATCAGATGTTTTTTTACGATCTTCATAATTTATTACTGGGGTGATGATGCAATAAAAAACCCATTAGCAGTCCCAAATCCATTAACATTTTATCACGACAATAACATTTTATCTCGACAATAATTGTTGTATTCAAGTACTTCCAAGAACTGTTGAGTTTTATCACTTTTATTTCTTTACGACTTTCCCCTATTCTATTTTATCATAAAAATAATAGTTTTATGATGACTGTTAAATGTTATCTCTAACTCAAGTCAGTATTTTCGTGAATATTCAATTTGCCGCTGGCATTGCCTACTGCCATAAAACTGTTAGGTGCTACATATTAAACTTGTAACCAATCTAATCTACAATCTTATTTATAAGTTAAAATATTTGTTATAAATATTTTATCTTTCTATTGAGAAATCACAAGCATATTTGTTGTTTGCATATTTTTTGTCCGTTATGCAAGCCTACTCGGTCTCAAATTATGTCATTGCATGTTCTGTATCTTGTCTTACATTGTTAGATGTGGCTGTTTAAGGCTTAAATGTTTTTTAGTTTCCTGTATTTTTTATTGTGTTGATAGTACTTTATGCAATCTAAATCTTATGAACTAGATAATGATTTTGCTACCCTCATTGTAACCTAATCAATTTATATATAGGCCCTCCTAAATAATTAGGTCTAGGCCTGGGTCTTTTGATTATTTGGAAGAGCTTTAAAATATACTAAGAAAATTGGACTGAGCCTGAGATAAACTAATGATTGATATTGTGGATGTTAACTTTGTAAATGGAAAACAATAATCTTACTCTGTGATAATCCAAATTTTAGTTTCAGAAAAAAACTTTGCAAGAGTTGTATCCATCTTATAACTAGTTTTGAAGCTGATAAAAAAAGAGATGCTCTTTGCCATTACTTCATCATATCCTCCAGTTGTTCATTGTTGTCTGCTGTGAACAGCTGGCAACTACACTGTCTTTGTACTGAATGCTTTTATATGTTTTTAAAAATCTAAAAAACAACTAGACATTGTGTTGGTTGGAAATAATTTACCAGTTGTGTGAAATTATCTTAACATTTAAAATCCACATCCATTCACATGTATATTCTCAAAATCGAGCGAGGTTTATACGCAAACTCGGGCATGCTCCCCCATATAAAATACGCGCTACCCATATAAAATAATGTTAAATTTTTTTTTTACTTTTTGATTTTTTAATGTTGTAATATTGTTTATAATCAAAAGTTGACACCCACAATGTGTGCCAGAATTTCAACTGTTTTGCCGTGTCTCAAGCCGTTTTCGAGATATAAGCGTTTTTAAACAGTTTTACGGACACCAGGGTGTTTACTACATTCTGGATAAAAAATTCATGGACAATTCCCGTACATTTAAGGACACTTTGACGTAACCTTTGTCGGTGTCATTAGGCCTACCGAATAATTTTCCTGATTTGTCAAACTGTATTAATCTTGTTATTCACTGTAGTTGTACCAGAGAGAAAAGTAAATAATAATAGATAAGAGTTAAAAATTACAAAATAGAAATTTATTGAAAGTAAACAAACATAGGCCTACCTATACTTTAGGTAAAGCTTTTATAGTGTAAAAGAGAAACGCAATCATTGTCTCCTGCGATAGCGACAAATATCTACATCCGTCACGTAAACTTCATAACATAGCTTATCCGATCCAGGCGGATTAATTTGGCATGATTCGCCCTGGCACAATGTTAGGTTCTCGACTACTTTTGAAAAAAAAAAAATCTTTAATGCATATTGTTAATTGTTACTCAATTCTTAGAACAAAATCAAGGTATGGTAAGCGGATATTAATAAGCAATAAGCACAGAGTAAGATTATTGTATTTTCATTTGTAAAGTTAATAACGACACATAGCAATCATTAGTTGTTTATCTTAGGCTCAATTACATTTTCTTAATATATTTTACAGCTCTTTCAATAATCAAAATACCCAGGCCTAAACCTAATTATTTAGGAGGGCCTATATAAACTGAGTAACAAACAGGTTACAATAGCAGCAAAGTTACTATCATCATTCTAGTTCATAAGATTTTGATTGCTTAAAGCATACAACTCAATAAATAAATATATGGGAAACAAAAAACATTGAAACCTGAATAGCCAACAATATAAGACAAAGATACAGAAAATGCAATGACATAATTTGAAACCAAGCAGGCCTACATAGTGATAAAACATTAATGCAAACAACAATGCTTGTGGTTTTGTCAATTGAAAGATAAAATGTCCATAAAAAAGGGGTTAACTTACAAAATAAGACTGTAGAGGCAAATTGAATCTTCAAGCCGAAAGTACAAGTAAGAAGTGAAATTTAACAGCCATTATAAAGCTATTATTTTCACGATAAAATAGGTTTGGGATCTAATAATAATTACCCTAGTAATAAAAAAAGAAGTTGTAAAGGAATAAAAGTGATACAACTTTTATGAGCTAGCTGCTGAGTCAACAGTTCTTGGAAGTACTTGACTTGACACTTGATTGTCTTGATAAAATATTAATGGGTTTGAGATTGTTAATGGGATTTTTATTGCATAATTACTCTAGTAATAAATTATGAAAATGTAAACAAACATCTGATAAACCTTTTATGTGCTCCTAACCAACTAGCGATCAATAAAATTATGGCCCATTAAAAATTTAAGGACATTGTCTGGCATTTAAGGACAATTCCCGAACATTTCATGGCCAGTAAAAATTTAAGTACAATTCCCGGTTTTCCCGGATTTCCCGGTTGGTAGACACCCTGGACACTGCCCCAAGAGCCAAGTTCGCGGTCACGAGACTGGGGAATCCCCAGGTGGTGACGTCACCGGGGACGAGTCTATATATAGAAGTGGCATAGTAATGTCAATGTATTATAGTTAAAAAAAAATAATGGTTTAAATACAGTTCTGAGAAGAAAACGCAAAAATACGGGTAACCGCGTACCGTACCGATTATGTACCGAGAACCAAGGTACAAAATATTGTACCGTACCGAACCGTACCGACCTTAAATTTTCTGTACCGCAGACCCCTAATAGTCACTAACTGAGGCTAATAGAGCCACTGCAGCTCAATTCTTCTAACCATCTGTGGTCTAGTGGTCAGAGCATTGGACTTGCAATCTCACTGTCTCGGGTTCCATCCTACCTGGCAGCAATATCTTTTTGCTCATTTAAAAATTGTTTAAATATTAATTGTAACATTTTATTTTCATTTAAGGGTTATTTCATTTTATTTGTAAGCATATAGTTATTTTCTTTAATACATTTCATCCTACTAATATTATAAATGAGAAAGTTTGGATGTATGGATGTATGGATGTATGGATGATGTTTGTGACAAGTGAACGCGAAAAATACTGGTCGGATTGGGCTGAAATTTGGCATGATGATAGCTCACATTCCCGATTAACATATAGGCATATTCTTATTTCAAAAATCCTTTCGGGCTCCGCCCCAGTGGCTCTGGAGTTTCCCATGTTAACCTTATGAGAAATGGAATTATTGAAGCTTAACAGCTGTTTCAATTAAACAAGTTGGTTCTGTTCTATGATGTTCAATATCATTAAAGTTACTAGGATTACCAACAGGGTGCAGCACTATTATTTCTTTTACATTTATGACAACAGCTAATTTGCAACCAAAAGGTGAGTGAGCGTAGCGAACGAACTTCAACCTGGAGGCGAGTTAGCGTAGCGAACGAGCTAACCTGAAGGCAAGTGAGCGCAGCGAATGAGCTCCAACCTAAAGGTGAGTGAGCGTAGCGAACGAGCTCCAACCTAAAGGTGAGTGAGCGTAGCGAACAAACTTCAACCAGGACGTGATTGAGCCATGCGAACGAGATAATCTTGAAAATTAAGAAGTTAAACGGGGCAAAGCCCGCGGGTTACAGCTAGTTTTGTCATAAATTGTGTTTTGTTATTTTTCACAGCAATCAAGTCTCAGGAATTAGCATAAAATTTCATAAGAGGTTAGAGTTAGGATTTTATTGTTTTAAAAGACCTTAAATTTCTTCTTTGGCTTCAACAAACATAAAAACAGTAATTAACACTTTAATTAGCATGACCGTTTTGTATTTCAAATTGGCTAGGAGTGGATAAAAGTTCAATAAAATCCTATAAATTCAGAAAATTTAGCTCTGCTATATATACGAGTAAAGTTAGGTTCTTATCAATACTACTTACCCATAACATAAACTAATTTCTTAAAATTCTTAAATTTAACTTTTCAGTTTTCGTTTTTCAAATTGGCCTGTTTTGTGACATTCACCCTTATGCTGAAATCAATGCCGCAATCAATTTTTCATTTTCATATTTTGCATTTGAAATATTGACATTTTAAATCAAATAATTGTAATATTTCATCAAGAAAACTTGGTGACAAAAAACGGATTGTGGTGTTAAGTTGAGCATAAAAAAGTAATGCAAAATGATGGGTCACAATACCACCTTCATATTTATAATAATTAATAATTTATCACATTTCAAAATGGTGGATCCAAGATGGCGGCCGAAAAAATACATTTGTTATAACCAAGTGAAAATAGGTCAACAATGATTGGTGGTGTATACTTATCTTTATCTAGCACTATTTTAAGATTATGGTCTTAGTTTGTAAATGCACAATGTTAAAATGGACTAATAATAAAGTTATAAAAAGTTCTCATAACTTTAAAATGGATCAAGAGTATTTAAAACAGATTGCAGCATCGTATTCAGCGTAAAAATCTAATTTGAAACAATGAATGGGTCACCACCCTACTTTTACATTTGAAAAAAAAACTTTGTATCCAATATGGCGGATCCAAGATGGTGGCCAAAAATATATACCCAGTCAAAATGAAGTACTTACTACTGTACAATGATCTGACGTGGTCTGGAGTTGATATCTTAAGAAATGTAGAAAACAGTAAGGGGGAAACTCATTTAAAACTCACCCTGTATAACCTGGTTTTTAAACTGTTTGTTTCATAAAACAATTATTCAAAACTTAGTTTCGTTTCAGTGACTTACACCACTTCCATTCTAGGCAGCTCAAAGAATATTATACCTTCTCCTATTTACTAGTGTGCTTGGTTTTTCAATCCTAAAACTGTTATTGAAACATGCAACATTATTACTCATAAATTCAACAAATTGTATGCTACTAGCTTTTACTCGTAAGTCTAGGTGTGTTATAATATAACAGGGCTTACTATGTTGAGGTAGCGAGTCAGAGAGATCTTCAGCATCTTTATTAGTAAGGGCACGTTCATCTAAAACAAATTAAGTACACAGTAAATATGTTGGCCAGACATACTAACAACAAGGATCAGTTCAAACAAAAAAATAGTGTTATGAAACGGCTTACCTTGTTGAGGTAGCGAGTCACAGTCATCTTGAGTGTCTTTATTAGTAAGGGCACCTTCATCTAAAACAAATTAAGAACACAGTAAATATGTTGGCCAGACATGCTAACAACAAGAATCTATTAAAACAAAACTAGGGATGGACGGGTGAGACGCATAGCGACACGCTATTTTATATAGTGTGTGCATTTCGCGAAGCCGGGCTGCATGACCAACTCGTAACCTGCCGCGATTGCATCAACGTCTCCCCCCACATTCCCACCTACGTCAACCCCCTTCCTGCTTCTTGCTCAAGGAACCTTCACACTGAAAGGAACCCGTAAAATTCCGACCGTCTCTCTCGTCATAAATGGATAAGTTATTGTAGTTAATATGTAGGAGTTAACTAGAATAATGTATGGCTAAGTCAGGAAACAAGCGGGGAGCCCTTCTGGCTCGCCCGACTATTGAAATGAAGGAAATTACAACTTAGCCGGTCGGCTGCCTTCTGCAGCCAACCATTTCAAACCTGTAAACTAAATTGAATTTTTAGTTCGGGACGGGATTGAATTTTTAGTTTGAGACAGGATTGAATTTTTAGTTCGGGACGGGATTTTTATTTCCTTCCCGATTTCCAGGACAGGAAACAGGATGGCATTTTTTCATTGAAAGAAAGTCTTGAGCAGTTACCAAAAAAGACAAACAAAATCAATTTTTACCATTTGTGACACTGACCTATAAAAACAAAAAAATGAGTGTAATGGGTCAACATTACGGAGGGGTTAAGATTTTATATTTATTATTTAATTATCATTAGGCCTATTCCTTACCTGGTTGGTGATAGTGGTTAACCTATCATGGTAAGGTAAATAGGCTGTTTAAATCAGCGACGATATTAAAGTTCCGCCGTATAATTTCACAGTCGGCGCAGGTAAATAACAACATAACCTGTACCACTAGTCGGCCGTCTTGGCGTTGTGTTGTGAATCGTGACAGCGCCAAGTTTGAACTCGTGACGTCATCGATCAGCTGGGAATTTAACCAGCTGATTCTCCACTAAATTCGTTGTATATTTAACCATGTCTGCCCATTATTAATATTAAGTAGGCTCCCACATTATTGTTTTTTTTTGGAAAATCATAGTTTATTTGACAAAAATAAAATGGAAGCAAAACAAAGGAATGCCGACCAAAGCTTCAAGGTCAAGCTATCCGTTTGCACTGACAATAGTCTGCTGCTCCTTAGGCCTACACATGACACATCTGTCTGCTGTGCGCTTGCTATGACACAACATTTTGTGTTTGGGTATTATTTGGTAATCATGACAACTTTACTAGCCTGTGATTGAGCGTTTAGTAACGATGGCAACTTGTTGAATGGGTGGATGAAGAGAAACTTAAGAAAGAATAGAAGAACAAAGAGAAAGAATAAGCGATGTTTTTGTGTCATTGTTATCTTTATCGGTGTATTTTACGACTGTTGTTATGCTATAAGTAGGCTGCTAATATATTATTTTATACTTTTTTATGCATTATCTAATGTTCTTATCAACATTCTTCTGTCCTGAAACAGCGTAGCCGTAGCATATGACTAGCAGTAGCTTACTAGAATTTCTAATGTTCTGTTTTTTATTTTGCTGTACAATGTTTGGCAATTTGTTTGTTTGAGTAAAAGTTTGAAAAAGCTGTGATTTTAAATGTCACAGTTTTTATTAATGAACCAAGGGTAATGACATAACAAAATTATCATGATTGCGCAATAGCCTACTAATTGTATTTTTATGATGTAACATGCAAATTATTACATTAACGTCCATTTAGTTTATGAGGTGGAAATAACTGTTTTATGTCATGTTGGATTAACCGTGGTTATAAGTTATACGTGATCTGTTCAAAATACAGTTTTACTACATTTTTATGTCAATAAACGCGTTCCTCTGATAATCCGACCTTTTTGCTGTTCCGACCATGCTCCCGGTCCGGTAGGTGACGGATTAGCGAGGTTCTACTGTACTAACAACAAGGATCTGTTCAAACAAAACTAGGGATGGAGCAATTGAATTTTTAGTTCAGGACGGGACGGGATTTTTATTTCCTTCCCAATTTTCGGGACAGGACGGGAGGGGATTTTTTCCTGTGCATTGAAAGAAAGTCTTGAGTATTGCAGCTACCAAAAAAGACAAACAAAACTAATTTTTACCATTTATGTCATTGACCTATAAAAACCAAAAAAAGGTAAAAATTTATAGGTATAGAAACTTGTGACGCACCGGTCACGGTGCAATCGTCGGTATGACACCGCGGTCACGGCGTGATCGTCGGTATGACTCGTGGTCAACACTTGATCGTCGGTATGACTCCGCCGTCACGGCGTGATCATCGGTATGACTTAGCGGTAACGGCACGATCATCGGTATGACTCCGCGGTCACAGCGTGATCGTCGGTATGACTTGCGGTCAACACTTGATCGTCGGTATGACTCCGCCGTCACGGCGGTATGACTCCGCGGTCACGGCGTGATCCTCGGTATGACTCCATGGCGCTATCGTCGCCATGATACCGCTGTCACGGCCTGATCGTCAGTATGATTCAGCGGTCACGGCGCGATCGTCGAAGTGACTTGCAGGTTGGCGTGATCGTCGGTATGACTCCGCGGTCACGGCGCGATTGTGGAAATGACTCGCGCTCACGGCGCGATCGTCGAAATGACTTCGCCTCCTGCGTTTGCAGAACTATCGTGAACATCTCTCGCGATAGCGGCGCCATCGTCACTCGCGTAGCGCCAAAATCGCCGACGATTGGATCAAACCCCGAAAAATTCCAGTATCAAATATAATTCTGTCCCAAACAAAGCTATAGTGTTATAAAAGGGCTTACCATGTAGAGGTAGTGAGTCAGAGGCATCTTCAGCGTCTTTATTAGTAAGGGCATTTTCATCTAAAACAAAATAAATACAGTAAATATGTGGACAAGACAAACTAACAACAAGGTTCTGTGCAAACAAAAATACGAGGGCCATCCAGAAAGTAGATTACGTTTTTGTCTGTATCTGCTAGGGGCGGGGCTAGCGCGACCATCTTGGTGTTAGTTTGTTATGCAGCTCAGTCGGTATCTACCTGTGCTAGTAAGAGGTTTCTCCTGTACTCCGGTGAGTTATTCATTTATTCATGTAAATTGTCACAAATTACACCATATACAGAGGAGTTTCCTCAATGGTAGATGACATGTCTAAAATATGATACAAAAATGTTAAAAACTAAATTAAAATGTAACTTAAACATAATGAGAAAACAAACTCTCCACATGAACCATTTTACAAACCACTATTACAATATAAAATGAAATCCTCTACTGAATAAAACATATGGCTCTTTAGATAGTTAACAAGTTTTCTTTTAAATGCTTTGGCAGAAGATTCATTGTGAATATGAGAAGGTAGTTTATTAAATAATCGGCTGCCTGTATAGAATGGTGTCTTTTCAAAAGCTGCTGTTCGATGTATCAGCAAAGAAAGATAACAATTACATGTAGGATAGTTATGTGTAGATTTTACAAGAGTGAATTTGTGAAAATTTTCTTTAACAAATAGAAGGGTATGTAGAATGAAAATGCAAGGTAAAGGCAGAATATCTAGTTTCCTGAAAATTGGTTTGGCTGATGCAGTATGGGGGGAATTTGTCATAGCACGGACAATGCTTTTCTGAATCTTAAATATTGCCGGAGAAGACTGTGAGTTGCCCCAAAATATCACTCCATATGTTAAGTTTGAATAGATATTTGCATAGTAAACCATTTTCAAAATGTTTATCTCCAGGATTTTTGATAAGTTTAGAATTAGAAAATGACCTTTATGGAGAATTTTTGTTAAGAAATTTACATGCTCATCCCACTTCAAGGAAGGATCAACGTGTAACCCTAAGAATTTATAACTATCTGTTGTCTGTAATAAGGGTTTGACATAAGAGTCATCAGAGTATTTTGTAATGGAGTAGTTGGAATGAAAATTAATAGCAAAAGTTTTATTTTTATTTAAAAGAAGGCCATTAGCTTTAAACCAAGAATTCATAGCAGATAAGTCATTTTCTAGCATCTTAAATAAACTAACCCGGATGGGGTGTTTACATAAAGAGTAGTATCATCTGCATATGTTATTAATTTGGAGTTATGAACTGCATTTGGTAGATCATTAGCAAAGACTAAGTAAAGGAATGGCCCCAGAATTGATCCTTGAAGGACACCAGCTTTAACAATGGAATAATTACTTTGAACAATATAATTTATTTTGACTGATTGTTTCCTATTATCCAGATAGGACTGAACCCAGAGAAGTGCATTACCACTCACCCCATAGTGATTCAATTGTTTCATGAGCAAGTCATGGTCAACACAGTCGAAGGCCTTCGAGAGATCACAGAACACTCCGACTGTGTACTGCGATCTATCAACAGCCTCCGAAATGCCCGAAACAAGCTCATAAATTGCCTTAGTTGTATTTCTACCCTTCCTAAAACCAAACTGGTTTTCAAAAAATATGTGATTGCTCTCAAAAAAATAAGATAATCGGTTTAAAGCTACCTTCTCAAATACTTTAGAGAAAGTAGGGAGGATGGAGATAGGCCGATAATTGTCAAAAACTGAAGAATCCCCTTTTTTTAAAACAGGGTTAATAACACTATATTTAAGTATATCTGGGAATTTATAATGGTCAAAAGATCTGTTAATAAGAATTGATAAAGGATAACAGAGTTTATCAGAACAAGCTTTGACTAAAAAAGATGGAATGCCATCCCAGCCAGCCGATTTTGAAGACTTAAGACTTTTTATGACATTAAAAATTTCAGATGAAGTGGTTTTCTTAAAATGAGACATATTTACTAATGGAGTATTCACATTCGCAAAGAGTTACTGTGACAGTTTAAAATTTTTGTGTTAATTGAAAATGCCGCGAACTGTGAAGTGCGTGCAAAATCAAAATGAATGGACTCTTTGGTTACAGTTTGGTAATCAAGCTGTTTGGTTATGATCTCGTGCAACAAACTTCGCGAAATTTGTGGAAAACCCATTTGTGGTACTATGAACTTTCAAGTTTTACGGACATCTGCATCGACTTTTTCGACAAGTTCGGCAGTCACAATGCTGGGTCCTCCACTTCGCTCTTCGTTGTGAACGTTAGTTCGGCCATTTTTAAATTTGATGACCCACTGACCAACTCCACCTTCAGTAATAATGTTTTCCCCATAAACTTCACAAAGTTGCTGATAGATTTCTATCGGTTTACAGTTTTTTGCAGTCAAAAACATTATATCTGCACGCACTTCACGGTTCGTAGCATTTTCAATTAACACAGAAATTTTAAACTGTCACAGTAACTCAACGGAGTACAGCAGAAACCTCTTACTAGCACGGATAGATGCCGACTGAGCTGCATAACGAACTAACTCCAAGATGTTTGGGCTAGCTCCGCCCCTAGCGGATACAGACAAAAACGTAATCTACTGGATAGCCCTCGTATGTTACAGGTGCAGTAAAACTAGTCTAAATGCAAACTTTAATCTGATTTAGAGCAAAATTTATGAAGACCGATGTTTCACCATCAAGAGCAAATAAAGTCAAATGTATTACAAACATTCATATAAGTTAGTTTCTCTTTCATCCTTTTATCTACTAAAAACATTAGGCTATATTTTACTCTACATCATAACTTTAAGTTATAGGTTTTAGTTCGCCATTTTGTGCAAATTCTATGCCTCTTAACCAAGTGCTGTTCCTGTTGAATGGAGAATATTTTTCTTTGTTTTATTTTGGCAATCCCCATCAGAAACAAGGGCCTCTCTGTTTATATTACTTATTGTACTTACATTTTAGCCCTGTATTAATTTATGGAACTGTTTCGGTTAACCCGATTTTGCTTAACTGGGGTTCTACTGTATTCCATTGTTGAAACTAGTGTTGTAGCTTCGTTCTTTTCATATGGTCAAATAGTATTACTCCTTCTTCTTTCCACTTCCATCCTCAATGTAAAAGTGTGTTTAAATTTTTATATATCAATGTGGATTGGGGTTGGATTATCATAGGTGATATTGAAATTGGTTATAGAATTGAAGGGGGGAATATTAATTGGGCCTTAACAATATGTGTGCATGTATTTATCTATTTATATTTGTAAACACAAATACTTAAGCATTTTTGATCTGACAGTTGGGATTACTAGAGGGTTGGACTGATTCCTGAAGTTTTTCAGGATATACCCAGTTGATATGAATTCCTGTACGATTATTGGTTTTCATGGATTCCGGGAGAGTAGTTATCATTTACCTGAATCGTCACTGATTAACTGTTCCCATTCATCATAGAGGGCTGCGAAGTCGGGTAAACTGCTGGACTCTGATTCAACATGACTGTCAGCATCATCCTTATCTTCAACAGCCCTTTCAGTGTCAGCACCATCCTTATCTTCAACAGCCCCTTCAGTGTTAGCACCATCCTCACCTACAACAACTTTCCTTCATCATTTGTCTCTATACTCACAAAAAAGTTTAAATATAATTTGAATAATAAAAGTACTATAAGCCTGAATAAAAAATGTATAACTTGTATTTTTATTACAGAATTAGTCAAGTAGCAAACATTATTGTTATGGGGTTTTAAGTTTAACACTATAAAAATGCCTTGAAATTTTACATATTTGAGACATCTGAATTTTTCACTTAACATGCTGTTCAGTACCAGCAGTCTCCTTGTATACAGCCACAGCCACCTCTAATGCAAGGCCGCGGCGAGCGAAAAGTGGCAACGTCGCATCCGTGTCTTGGTGCGTGGTCGACTTACCATTAACAGTGAATGGAGGAGTCGCGTACCGACGTACATAATCACGTTTCTAATACCCTTAATGATTAGTAATGGCATTGAACTTGTTACTACAGCATGCCAGATAGATGTGATATGGCTGGATGCCAGAATAATTATGAAAGCTCAATTTAAAATGAATAATACATACAGTGTTCTAAGATTCTATGTGATCCGCCGTGTAAGCAACAATAGCTTCCTGCTATTCATCGGTCAAATTAGACATCTTAAAACAATTCTCGTTTTTGTGTGAAACATTTTCACGAATATGAACTTAGATTTGTAAAAAAATGTAAGAATAAGACAATGATTCATGTAAATATAGACGCGAGAAGCGAGTTTTAGGTGGTAATGCCGTACCTACTATATTTCCTTATTTTATTTGTCTATCTTATTAATAAAAGCTGTTGTTAAGTGATTAAAATGACTTAAATAACTAGCACTTCAAAGAAATAAACCGGTGTTTCTGTTAAGTTTAATTAGGCCTACTAGTAAAAAAATATGTACTACACCATCTAACAATAAAAGCATCATAGTCTCCGACTCCAGTCTAGATGTTGATTTGATACAAAAATTCTATTAATATTGTGGAAAGCCATATGGAGGCCTAGCTTCTGAAATCGTTTACAAAATGGCAAACGTTTTGCTTATTAATTATTCAAAGAAAATAAATTATTTAGTCAGTATGCCTTCAAAATGAAAACTTAAAATTTTGTTGTCGCTAACTTATGGTTTCCTCAGGTAGACTGAAACATAATATTTCTATTTAAAATTTAAAATGATTTTATTTGAACAAATTGTTAGATATTAGTCTCTACAAATCCCAAAGTCTCTACAAATATTGAAGTGGCAATAAGTTAGTCCTACTGTATTACCATTCTTGGTATAGTACCTAGCTATAATTTGTAAAATTTAAGCCCAGTCTGTCTAGTAGTTTTTACTATGTTCCATGTTGAAAAACAATCATATAAGTGTTATAAGACGTTTCTTTTATTTACTTTCCGTAAATTTAATAACACCATAGACTAACCAACACAAGTAGACTTCTCATCCCATTGTAAATTTTGAAGCACGTTTTTCGTGTCTAGTTCATGTACGTGACACAAAGGCGCTAGTGTCAATGAAACTTTGTTTCCATTATTTTAGGGTTAATTTCTTGATTTGTGCTTTACTGTTTGGTTATATAACTAGGGGACAAGTTATTGTTTATGATTAGATCGTATTATTTGTTTAAACGAGGTTTTAAATGGCTGCAATAACGGGAAACAAATTGTAAACAAAACACGACCTCTACATAAACCGTACATGAACTAACAATAAAATTGTCTTCAGCTGTTCCATAAGGATGAGAAATCTACTAAGGGAGTATGTTTTATCTATGATAACACGTACAATGCTGATCAAGAAGTTATTTATATTTAAATTGAAATAGCACCTAAAATACAAAGAATGACGAGCATAGTTAATTAGGCAATCACAAATCAGACCGAAACAGAACAAAAGAAAAAAGCTGTTGAAACCAACATAATTGAGTACAAAAATATGCCCAAAAAAGGAAACAGAGAAAATGCTAATGTTGTCATGCGCTAGAAAAGACTCCTGTTTGCCGTTTTTTACTAAATAAAAATATCAATTCTATAATTGACTAGAAACTTTTTGTACAGTTCTGTTATGATTTTTGCATTTAGCTTGAACCCTATAAAAGGCTTGTAATTATTGGAAGACCGTTTTGAAACCTGTACGGACACAACTCTGTGCAATAGCAATCCTTTGGACCACTTTACCTGAAGGTTTATTATTCCTGAAAGTTACCTTAATTTCCTAGTTCCAACCCATTCCATTAATTGATATTTTTACAAAATTATTTGAGTTTGAGGTTGCAAGTTTTTATAAAGTTAAAAGTAAAATAAAAAAGAAAGGGGTTTCTTATATTGAATTAAAAATAAATAATTCTGATTCTAGCAATGACTAAGGGTTGAAATAGATCTTACTTACTTTGATCATTACGAGCTTCACTTATAACACCAACACTCCCATCACCGTCTTCTCGACCATACACTGTAGTTCAACAAAGTTTAAAGTTCATAGGATAAGGCAAAATTATTGTTAAATGTTATACAGGGTGACAATTAAGACTTAATAACTTTAAAAAAAAAAGAGATATCACAACCAAATTTGGCATATCATTACTGGTAATAGTAAGCTACTTTTTTGTGTACATGGTGATTGGCTGTCACTTATGAGGGATGGCCTATAGGGAGTAGGTTGAAAATCTTAAAGGTAAGCATAGGTTGATATATACATCAAAATAGTTTTGTTGAGCTAAAAACAATGTCAAAAACCTAACCTCAAATGGACAACCGATTCAAAAATGGTAGCCGTTCAAAGATTTCTTGAATCTGCAATTTTTAATTCTAAAAGTCTGCCATTTTTTACTTGGTTGTTCTTTTTAGCTCAAATTTGCAGCATTGTATTTTACTGATAAAAACCTTTAATTTGATGTGCATATCGACATGTGCTTATGGAGGAAGGTAGCATATAATAGCGTTGCAAAGACAATTAACCCTCCGAGTGAACATAGTTTAGGCCTTAATGTCCGCCTATTTTTGGCGCATTTGCAAGGTTTTATTAAAACGGATCTGAGAAGCTTAAAACAATGTTAATTCTACTGTTCTATATACCATTTGGTTTGGAAAATCATGGGCTTCAATATTATACATAAAACATAAGGAACATTTGTTTCAAAAAAATGTTTAGGTAAAAAAAAAATATTTGGGAAAATTTCCAAAAAAAAAAATAAGTTTGCGCTCAATGAAATTGTATAAATTATAGGCCTATAAATATTTGAAAATAGCCACTTTGTTCTAAATTTTATGAGGATTACAAATATATAATAATATAAGGAAGTAGATTTGCAAATAAATAAGTTATGGGCAAAAAACAGATTTCAGTACATAGCGTTTAGCTAAGAATGCATAGCCTAACCATAGCTAGGAATCTGGCTGATAATTTACATCAATATCACTACCTACTTCTTCAGGATCATCAACCAGCCCTTCAAAATAACTTAAATCTTCTTATAATGCACCACGTATATCACTACTTTTGATTTTTAACACTAAAACATTGATAAACGTAATAAAACACATCAGTCATCGGTCCGAGGGTAACCTAGCTGCTTACAAATACGCACGTCAGCTGTCTGCTACAATTACGATCGGCTCGGAGAACATAAAGCGCTTAGAGACAGACCTCTGGAGAAAGCGTAGAATATAACGAAAAGAACGATACCTAACTCAATCCAGTTCAATCCGATTCAGTCAGTCATAGAGCCTTCGCCGTAAACGATGTTCGTGCGTTGAAAAATCGACGCGTGACACTACACAAAGTGTGTCGCGCGTCGATTTTTCGACGAGTGACGCTCGGAGGGTTAATCTTTGAACAGTTGTCATTTTTGACTGGATTGTCCATTTGAGGTTCGATTTGTAGCACTGTTTTTAGTTCAAAAAGACCTTTAATTTGATGTACGTATCATCAACGTATCTCTAATATATGTCTCAAAGTTTATTTTTAGTTAATTTGGAGAACTTTTACCTACCCTATTTCACTCTTAAAATGGGGGGAAGCCCCTTTCTTGTGTCTTTGGACTTTGGGGATATGCCTACTAATCCACGTTTATTAGAGCTAAAATCTGATATTTAGTAGGGGTGTTGTCCATTGGTCCAAAAACCATAAAAAAAGATGTTCAAATCGTAAACTTATTTTATTTTAACCACCTCCATGGATTAATACCCTCGCCGCAGCAAACTTGCCGACTAAGCGAATTTCCATTTGTCTGAATTGATTTTCAATTAAATCTATTTAAATAGCATTAGGTTTAACGAGTACCTAGATTTGGTGCCACAAGGAAACTAATTTTGGTAAACAGCATCATTTGTCGAAGTCTCGTTTTTTTGTCTTTTTCGTAACCTCTGGCTAATCAGAGGTGAGTTTGATGTTGACTGCTCGGTCCTCAGCGGTAAAAGAAGAAGGAAGTCAACCATTCCGACTGTGATCTAAGCTGTGGATAGTCTCGAAATATTCGTTCGTGAGTTTCTCACCTCTGAAAGTTAATTTTTGGAAGAATCGTGTTCGTAGTTTGTAATGAAACATGTAATTTCATTGCTTTGTCTATTTTGTCGTTTGGCGAGTTGTGTAACACCATTTTAGTTGTATTCTAATATTTCTCTACCCGTTCTTGTTAGCGAAGCTGTGTCGTAATTCGAAGCCTGACTGCGGCCCTAACCCTATTATACGCTATCACAATTTAACCAACCAATTAAGTGGGGAAATTGAAGTTGGTGACTCCTGCTGTCAATAGACATTTTAAAATTCGTATTCGAACCTTCTTTGTAATTTTTTACTCCTTTTTGTGACGTTCACAAGATTGTCCCGGCGGCACAGGTTCCTGCTGCCTAGTTTGGCATAAGTTTGCTTTTTGTTGCAAAGTTAAAGTTTTAGTTTTGTTTTCACGTTCAAGAAGTAGTTTTATAATTTTCTCACTGACAACCAAAGCCAACTTTCTTTTGGTAAACTCAGACTCTGTGGGATCTAGGTTAGGCCTACTTTAACCATTTGTTTGTTGCATGTCCCCACGTGTAACCCTGTGGGTAAGCAGGGTGAAGCTACTTAGTTTATTTACCACTTAGTTAGTACCCACAGAGTCAAGTCAAAATAATTATCTGTCCCCCACAAACTCCTCTGACTCGACTATGGACATGCACATACACCTTTATACGCCTTGATCACCTTGCATTTGCCCGTCCATATAGTCTATGGACTTGTGTGAGGAACATATCCAGCAAGCAAGGGATGAGCTGGTACAGTACAATGGTAAACTGTACTGATAAAAAGTAGTGGCAGGTACCAGGATCCGAACCCATGACATTGCTGCCCTCGGCCCGAAGTCAGTGGCGCTACCAACAGAGCCACTAACTCACAATTCATTTTGTTCATTATTAAAAGTACTGTATTTTATTCAAAGTTATAGCAAAGAGATACTCACCTATTAGGTCTGGTAAATCATCTGAGCTTCCATGCATTTCAATCATGGCAAGACTGTCCGGACAAGACTGGTCTGTATACTCTGTGGCTGAAATTGAAACAATAGTTCTTTAGTTATTATTTAATATTGATAAACATACAAGAGCACAAATCAATCTATAAAACCTACAGTAACTGGGGTTGGATTTAAGACCCTATGGATCCTCAGGTCACTATGAAAGTCACATGTTTCTATGAATACAACTGCTTGCTTATTTCTTTAATACATTTATAATAACATATAAAGCGTGACAAATTGCTCTAACATGTAATTTTGCAATACAATTGTATAATTCAGATAGAGTTATTATAAGTTGTGTATTCCACACTCAGATCCTCAGATAGGTATATTGATGAAAATAATGTTGATCTTTAATTAGAGGATGAAGCAAACATGTTGCTAAGTTGTATGAACATAATCAATGTAGCTCAGACTAAGTTGCATTAGTGAATTTTAACACAGATTGTTGTAATAAAATAAATTACGAACCAACATTGAATAAACTAACGTTATGCTTACAATACTATATAGAAGTGGTATCACTTTTACAAGCTGTCAAGTTACACAAAATTGGAGCATGTAAACCTCAAATGCTGTGCCGCTTTTAGTGGAGATATGAAATGGCATGATGTTATAAAGTGAAGGATATTTTAGTTCTATCTATCATATTATCATGAAGACAGTTTTTAGTTCATTTCAATATAAGGTCAAAGTTCAAGTACAAAGTTTTTGAGTGTTTGGCAATGTTGTGTGAGTAGGCTGGGAGTGTTGTTAACAGTAACATGTTGTGCTGCCCTATTGAAGGCCGTTGCTTAAGTAGGCCAGTGCATTTTATCAGGGGGACAGTTTTGTGTGTAGTGGTAGGTGTGGTGCACCAGAGGACAGGGTCCTGCTGGGGGAGCTGGAGCCCAAGGCCCTTTGGCCTTAGGTCCAGGTAAGACAATGTTATCGGTTTTCAAAATTGGGGTTTCAGTTTCTAACTAAATGATTTACATCTCCAGTCTACTCTGCCTTTTTTTAATCTTTGTGTTCTTCGTATTGTTTTGGGTTTTATTAAAGTTGGGTTTTGTAAGCGAGTGCTGAGTTTCATTCCTGAGCTACATCACCCAAAGTAACAGTGAGTAGATACCTCAAGTGGAGAGGAACCGACCGTTACAGTAATGTGACACTTTATCAAATAAACTATGTTTTGACTTTGATTTTAATAGCCTACTTTTCCATGCCAGAAACAAGTGTTATCTTACGCTTGAACAGTCATTCACTGGACAGTGCCCTCTCCGTAGATGAAATTTAACACAGCGGCAGACCAAGGACATACATTATCATAGGCATATTAAGACTACTGTTTTTGGTATTTTGGCTTAGACTTTGTCCCAAAATATCAGAGCCCCATCCGTAACAGTTTCAATTGAGGTTTTAAAAAAAGGTCTTTGTTTGGTGTCAGAGAAAAAGATCAAGGACAAATTTTGCATTCTGTATACAAGCAAGAGAAAGTAGACTGGCGCCTCACAAAAACCACCCAATATATCTTATAAACTCCTAATAAATGTTCTTAACGCTACCTTTCTCTTCACTTTTGGTCTCCTCTACTTCTTCCGGTGCAGTATTAGTGCCATTTGACTCTCCTGATGATTTCTTTCTTTTTCTTCCTGTGTAAAAAAACCAAGGATATTAAACAAGCTGACACTATTCGATAAACAAATAAGAAAATATAGGACAGTGCTTTGGAAGACTGGCCCTCTATGCTTAAAAAACATCAATGCAAGATTTTTAAAAATTATCTCTTTCAGGGTAAATACTATATTTTTTACGTGAAATTCCAGGTTTTCTCGTGGTTTTTCAAAGTGTGCAGTATCCCGCATGAATGTTTCCCACGTGAACATTATATTATTTTCTTATTTATTTATTATTTCTAGATTAACTGGATGTCTGAAATTTGGCCCGATTGTAGGTCTTGCGCCCTGTCCCCCGTGGCTCATTTACCCCCAGCCAAAAAAGGGGGCCTGGGGGCGGAGCCCCCAGCGAGCCAAAGGCGAGTACATCAATATACATCACATTTGTATATTTCTAACTGTTCTAAAGTTCAGTGAGCTAGTGTTTGAATATAATAATCATTATTACTAGTGTGCCTGTTGCTCAAAATCTAGCAATTGTCAAGTACTGGTATTATAGAGGAGTTATAAAAAAATAACAGTCATCTCCTATGAGTGCTCAAAATCTAGCGATTGCCAAGTACCGTAATTATACAGGCAATAGGCATTATTTAAAACTGCAGCAACAGTCATAGTTTTTTATTTCAATAAGTTTAAAAGACTCAAAGCTTATGTAACTAATTGAAATACTCACTCTATTAATAACGGGTATAAATAATAAACATTTATTGTAAAAATATGTTATCATTTTTTAGAAGCCGGCCTTATTTTTTTAGTATTTACAAATGTTTCCCGACTTAGAGCTGTTACCAGTAAACATTTCTTGCATGTATTCATTTGATCCGACATTATGTAGGTTTTCTTCACCACTGTGACAACATGATTTGTATATTCTTCATGATTTTTCTACTTAAAATAAGTTGCATAGCAGAACTGGTAATAATTATTCATCTCTCCAAGTGATTGTGTATCTGGATTCCTTACTTTTAGACCAGGACTCTCTTCTACTCTTCTCATACATATAGGGTATAAGATTTCCTCTTAACCTCCTCATGTTTTCAATATTTCTTTTTTAAACTCAATAAATTTTCTGTTCTTTCAACAAAACTGATTAACTGTTTGGATTGGTCTATAACCTCCTGAATATTACAAACATTAATATTTACTCCGAAGAATCTGGTGAGTTTCTTTTTACATACAGCTGTTTTTGTTTTTAAATTCGTTCAATGTAATTCTTATGGTGAAAACCCGACCTTTGAAAGGGTCTCACACCCTTGTATAAACTTTTAAATTCTAAAACCTTAATGCAAAACTACGAATTGGGCCGAATCTTTTGATACCTTATACGTTGAAATTGGTCCACAAATAAGGGAGGAGTAGTGTTCACAAATAACAGCCCTCACATATTAATATAAAAGATGGTAAATCATTTTCATTATCATCATCACATAAGGTCACGAAAGAATCGTAACTCTCAATATCAGCAAAATCCTAAATATTATCTCATTGTTCATGAAAAAAGTATCATCAGCGGCAAAATCCTGATCTCCCAGGATCGTGTGGTCATTTCCCACAGTGCACAAACATCATCACAGTCTTCCACTGTTTGTAAACATTATTGTTGTCTCCCGTGGTCACGGAAACATCATTGTAGTTTACCATGATATAAGCAAAATCCTTAACAACTCAGCGGATTGAAGACATTGATTATCGTCGTCTCCCGCGGTAACAGAAACTTTATCATCGTCATCCATGATCACAGCTAAATCCAGGGGATCTCCCCTTGAATATAAAAATTATCGTCGTCTTCAGCGGTCACGGAAACGTCATTAGAGTCTACCATGACCGCAGGAAAATACTGGACATTTTCCGTGATCTGTAGACTTATCGTCGTCTCCCGCGGTCACAGAAACATCAGTCACAGTCTTCCACGATCGGGGCAAATGTGTTAATTCTTTTATCCTGTGAACTTTGCAGATGGGTTTTACGATTGCAATCTTCTACCAGGGCTAAAATTAAAATCCCAGAATCGCTCCAAAAGTCCCAGTCTTTCCAGGTCCATTCAAATGCAAGGTTTTTACCCGGTTCTCCCGGGTGGTATATGCCCTGTTTATCAATGTAAATTTAAGGTTATTTTATGTCAATTTTGACATATTATAGGCTATTAAGTATTTAGGCTAGTCCTAACTAAGCTAACAATTGTTCAGAAAAAACAACCTTCCCATAGTTTAGCTTCGGCCATTTTAAATTTCAGTTTTTAAATCACCCGCAAACTTATTTTTTGTTTAATTTATAAGCTTATGTAAGGCTTTACTTTGATTATGTTAGCCATAATTTGCGTTGTGTTTATACAGTTTTGTGTGTTATCTGTGCATTACTGATGATATTGTATAATTATCGTGGTTTGATTAACATTCCCCTATAAAAAAGTAATTTCTGGCCATATATGGCCATATCAAAATTCCATATATGGTTTTATAAAGCCATATATGGGTTTTGATGAGCATATATGGAAGCATATATGGCTAGATGTGGTTGTATCCATATATGGTGGTGTCCATATATGGCCATATATGTAGTATATATATGGAATTATTGTTCATATATGGCCATACATGTTTTCGATATATGAAATAATTGTTCTTATATGGCCATACATGTTTTCTATATATGAAATAATTGTTCATATATGGCCATACATGTTTTCTATATATGAAATAATTGTTCATATATGGCCATACATGTTTTCTATATATGAAATTATTGCCCATATATGGCCATACATGTTTTCTACATATGAAATTATTGTTCATATATGGCCATACATGTTTTTTATATATGAAAATATTGCCCATATATGGCCATAAATATCCTCCATATATGGAATTATGGTCTATATATGGTCATATATGACTCCCAGGTATGAAATTAAATTACTCATATATGGAATAATAATTTTCCATTTATGCTCATCTATAAATGAGTTTTTGACAATAACTGGAATTATTATAAGGGATTGTTGCCACTTTAGGATTATGTAACTCTCAAACTCCCAAACACTTCTTATAATATTAAAAATCTAAAGTTTATCAGTTTGTGTATTTTCTTGTTGCTCTCCAAGCACAAACTACTTAACTGATTGAGTTGATATGTGGTACAGTAAGGGGGCAGATAATATAGGCAATTCTCCTTTAAAGTAATTATTAGTAAAGAAATAAAATATCCAGATTTGAACCCTGATGACAAAATCCTGTACATACATCTATTGTACAATTTTATTATAACGCAACAAAATCTTAAAACTGACGTATAATTTTAAAATTGTAAGTGTAGTAGGCCTAAATAAGGAGAATATTATATTAATAATTAATTAATTGTACCTTTGCTATCAAACAGCCTCAAATATCAATGTCACGTAGTTAGGCTATATTAATAATAACATTCTTCAAATGACATAAAATGTCTAAGAAAAATCTTGTTTTACGAGACCAAATACAGCTTCTCTTATTCGTAATGGGTTTTGATCATCCACATGATATGAAGCTATCGTGGTGTAGTGGCTAAGGGGGCAGACTCTCACGCCGGAGTCCCGGGTTCAATTCCCAGTCAGATGCTTAAAAATTTTGTTTTGAAATTTTTGAATTTAAAATTTTTATTATAGTTTTAATTTATAGTTTATACCATTTAAGGTAAAAATATGTTTAATTGTTATTTTTTTATTTATTTATACATTTTTTATTAAAAAATTCCATATATGGAGGATTCCATATATGATCATATATGGAGGATTCCATATATGATCATATCTGGGGGATTCCATATATGATCATATCTGGTTGTATTTGGTCCAAAACCAAATATAACCGGATAAAAAAAATTTTATATGGCCATATATAAACTTTTTCATAAGGGTTAATGAGGCCTAATAATAAACAGCCACATTCCCCTGTGAGTAAGGGAACACTTATATATAAGATTTGTGCGAAAGTGGTGTGAATTATTAAACAATGAAAATAGTGATGTCGAGTCACTAGATGACATTGACTCTTCTTCTTGGACCGAGAGTAGTGAAGACATGGTCGACGACACGGACGAGGACCCAGATTATGATCCAATTTCTACTCCAAGGCCAAGATTTCAGTTAGCCTTGCCTCGCCCAAGAATACATTTTGACTTGGACTGCCCCCGGCCGGGACCTCCAGAGATTGAATTTATTCAACAACCCCTGACAATGTCACTGAACGGCCTGATCTGAACAATTCTGACGAGGAAGACGATGCAGATACTCCAGCACCTGTTAGGCCTCCTATAACCACTACAAGAGACCACAGTGTAAACCTACGAGGACGAGGTACAGGGTGTGGTAGGGGCCATGGTAGAGGAGGTAGTAATACAGAAAAGTTTAGAAATTAGTGATTGGGAAGAATTATTAGATGACGTTGAGTTGTTGACCCTAGATTTGAACATTCGTTTGTTTTCAATGAACTGACAGGGCCAAAACATTGTCCCCTCTCGAAATAAATAGTTCTCTGATATTATACTTTGGTCTGTTTTTCACGCCCAGTTTAATAAACACATTTGTTGTAGAAACAAAAAAATATGCTCAATGATTTATTCAGTAAGAGGACATAACTTATCCCCAAACAGTCCAACACAAGAAATGGGTGGATGTGACCCTTGCTGAAATCAAGGGGTTAATTTTAGTTGTTTTGAATATGGGAATTGACCAAAAGCCATGAATTTTAAGCTATTGGTTTGTTTCTTCGTTCCAAAACATCAAAAAACATCAAATGGTTTTCAAATATGTTCGCGAGGAACAGATTCCAGATTCTCCACATCCAAATTGTCCACATGACTTACTTGACTTATTTCCTGTCGCTCCTTAGCGGGAGCATAGGGCATCGAGAAGAGCTCGCCATCCATCCCTGTCTTGCGCCACGTCCCTCAGTTGACCCCAGGTCTTCCCGACACTCAAGGCTTCCTTCATTATTGTTCTC